CGGGTCTGTCTTCTGAATATGCTGCTGGCCCTTGCCAGCGCAGTCTTTCTCTGGTCCAAGTTCCTTGGGATTCGTGACCATATTTTACTGTCTATGATCTGAGACTTTCATTTCTGTCATCTCCTATGACTCGTAGTGTCAGGGTGGAGGTATTCAACCCCACCTCCACACAGGCTTGACTGGTCTCTTGATTTTATAACCTCAGCTGTTGCTACACAATAAACCTTGTTGTCATGCAATGCTTCGAACAATTCATTTCCTTTCATCTCCTAGGAAACGCGTTTGTTGTAAGACAGCACATTACATTGCTCCCTTCTAAAGGATGTTCATCCCGAACAGCCTAACGGTATTTCTTTTCCTTTGTTGTTTGTCTTCGGGGCGCTATCTCTGTCCCCTTCTTCAAGGTGCTTGTCCCGAGCAGCTCCATGGTCCAGCGTTCATCGATCCGTCATTTCACATTCATCCATTGCCCATTCACTCTTGCTGGGGAGGCCGGTGCTTCTATGTTACCGGCTTCTCCTTGGTGCGCTGTTTCCTTTTTTTTTTTCCCCCCCCGTTTCGGAGGGGGTCGGCCCCTCCGCAAGGTCCAATCCTTGGCTTGTCATAGGCCGACAGAAGATCCGACTATTCGCTTCATGAACTTCACGCTCACAATCTTGTAGAAGGTATTCTTACGAGTTCTTCTCCCTCCTAGGTGCGATCACTGTCCAGATCTACACCCTCTGATGGCGTTCTTGGTTGGAACATTTTTCTTCTGGCATAGCGGCTACCTGTCGCTTATGTTCTTTATTCCCGTTCTTCCTTTGTGGAGAATCCGCACTCTTCCTCTGAGTCTCCGGATTCTTTCCTCGTACTTGGCCCTGATACAATTTCTCCTACTGATGCTTCTCTTGCGCCAGGTGATTCTTGGTGATTTTAAAAGCCGAAACATGTAGCTAATGTAATGTTGACTTTGACCGTTATGTTGTTGTGTTACTACATAAATTTACACATTAAAAGTGAATGTCCACACTCAAGCTGTCTTGGTTTTACATGCATTTTTACTAATTTACATTCACAACATGTTTCGGCCTCATTGGGCCATCATCAGGTGAATTCTATCTTTGAGTGAGACCACTGCACTGTATTTGTTTCTCGTGCTTCTCTTGTGCATGTCCTGATTTTACTTCATGCTAGCTGTTAAATTTCATTTTTTTCCCAGCTATTTTGTGGCTGTTATCAGGTTGTCGTCGTGTTTCCACTGTGGTCTACCAGTACAATATCATAAATGTGTATATAGTTCCTACTGATCAGTGATCTAAACCTTTCCTTCTACCAAAGATAAAGCTGTGGGAACATGAAGAACACCAGCTCCCCATGTTGTCTGGTTGCAGGCCCCATGATTCTCATGATCAACCTGTTATTGGGGGTAACAGAATCTGCCATATGGATACCCCCGACTCAGAAATGAATTGTACACCTTCTAGGCAGCATGAAGCCAGGTCAGCATAGACCATGTCTGGTGGCACTAGACAAACAACAGCATGAAACATTTTATAATGCTTCATGGCTCCTAATATTTTAGTAGAGATATGTAAAACAGCAAAGAAAAGTAATGATGAGGCAGGAAGCAAAAAATATTTCCAAACCATTTATATTGTCATTTGATGTACATATTGTACGCTACTTTTTGACACAAGTTCCACTACTGTTGAGGCACTTCTCATAGGGGTCACAAGTTTTCATATTCCTGCATTGTAAATGATGCTGCCTGAGATGCAAACCATGTGTTAATGGCATCTTTGATCTCGCTGTCATCGTAGAACCGCTGGCCACCAAGGAAAGTTTTCAGATACAGGACCACACGGAAATCACTTGGCAGTAAGTCTGGGCTGTAGGGGGGATGATAAAATTGTACCCAGCCAAATGTTGCAATGAGATTTTGCGTTGCAGCGGCAGTGTGTTGGTTGGCATTGTCATGAAGCATCACATCACCCTAACTAAGCATGCCACATCGCTTGTTCTGGATTGCATGATGTAGTTTCTTAAATGTGTCGCAATAGATACCTGCACTGATTGTTGAGCATTGAGGCAAAAATTCCACAAGCAGAATGCTTTTCTTTCCCAAAAAACTGTACACATGAATTTGCAGGTTGAAATGGTCTTTTTGAATTTTTTCTTTATTGGATATGATCTGTGCCTCCATTCCTTGGACAGCTGCTTCGATTCAGGGGTTATGTATGACACCCATGTCTCATCCCCTGTGACTATGTGGCTCAAGAAGTGATCGTCTTGCTCAATGTATCATGTCAGAAAGGCCAATGCACTGGCTTGCCGTTTCATTCTGTGACATCCGTAAGCATCTTCGGCACACAACGGGAACACAATTTCCAAAAATGAAGTGACCGTGAAATTGGTAGAAAATGCAGGGAAGATGATGAAATGGTGAATTGCCTGCTCCCTTGAATCTTCTCTTCCACTGCACCCAACAAATCTTCATTTACCACAGATGGTTGGCCGCTCCGCAGATTATCATGCACATTTTCACGCCGTTCATTAAAGTGTCTCGCCCATCTCCTTACCACTGTATCACTCATGGCATCTTCTCCACACACCTCATAAAGTTGATGATGAATGTCAGCCGGTTTCATGTTTCTTAAATTCAAAAAATGGATTACAGACCACATTTCACATGCAGTGGACTTCTCGATTTTCCTGAACATTGAAAACACACAGGAAGATGTGTAAACGTGGTTTGATTGTCTGCAAATGGCGTCTGTGTCTTCCACAAGGACCAATAAACTATGCACACATGCGCACCATAGTGACTGCAGCGCTACACTGGCAATATTTGCAAATGGAACGTATATTGTGGATACTCCTCATATATTTTCAGTAATGAAGAAAATGAATGCTTGGATTTTAATGAGGAAATGACAACACACATGTTTTGGTGGAACCTGATGCCTCCTTCTTTAGGGCAGACAAAAGCACAATTCCTTTCAGTTCATGGATAGTAGATCCTGAGTGATAAGACTGCATGAGGAAAAGTTTTCATGGTGTCAAACAAAATGTAAATCCACTGTAGTAAATGTCTTGGCCCCTTTCATCATGCAACACATTTAAGAAGAACTGTTATGACTGATATATCAAATCACAACAAATTTGAAGTTGGTGCCTGTTTTTGTTCAATGTTTACTCCAGAGAAGAGACTTCAAACTAAAGCGACTGAATTTCAGACCTTAATGACAAAACAGTTAATGTATTATAGATATAGCACAATGCACATCAGACAACTGCTGACATTATATCAATTGATGTCAAGGCCATAGTGAATAAAATATTCCAGTATTTTCACATACTACAAGTGGAGGAACTGAAGGAATTTTGTGACTTCATTGACACTGAATATAAACAGATCCTTGGAAGTGTAAAAAACAGGTGGCTCTCACTTCAACTGGTAAAAACCACAGTTATTTCCAGGTTTCTAGTAGTGAAGTCACATTTTCTTTCCCAACAAAAATGCCTGACGATGCTGAGGACAACGTTTAATGATCCAGTACACCACGTTTGGATTTATTTCTTGAGAAGTCAGGTGAAATTCTGCCCCATTTCAATGAAGGAAATACAAAGTGACAGTATTTCAGGCAGTGAATTAGCTGCAGTAGCTGCAGAACTAGATATTTTGCCAAAGAAAATGAAAAGCTCTTTCTAAGGGATCCAACAGAATAGGTGTTTTCCCTCGCCTGAGGACGGAAACAGATCCAGTTTCCGAAACGTCGTGTTTTTCTTAGTTATCTTAACACTTCGTGGACCAGTGATTTAAATACTTAAATCACCCTGGGGACCAGCATTTTTAAACATACTACCCTAATTTGTGCACTGTTCAATTTAAAAATTAATATAAAATCTCCTAATTAATTTTTTGAACTAAAATTTTTGGAGAACACCAATGCTCCTAGAAGTGCTTGAGGGTGTGATATTTCTGAAAACGTTCCCCTTTGTGAAGTGGCATTACACAGAACTTGCAAATGTAGACATACTCCTTTTTTTGTGAACTGTGCAAACACGGCATTGCCTAGAAGTATTCTTCCCCTTGGAATGTTCACTCTTCACAATTTTCACGATGGTATTTTTCCGCATACAACTCAAGAGTCGCCCTGGGGGGTCCACATGAGGCTTTTGTGGGGTGGGAGTTGATGGGCCTGGTTGTACTAAGTCTTTGTGTGATCCTGGTTCTGCCGCCACCATCTGGACTGTAGCCCAGGCCTTTGCCACATTCATCAGAAATGCTTTGTATTTCAATTTTGAATCAGGGTTTAGATTTTTTGCTGTCCCCACAATGTTACTACACGCAATGTTATTACCCGCATTATCGTCGGAGCTACTGTCACTTTTACTGTCTGTGGCCACAATTCTTTGTTGTCCCCCATCGCTGTCGCTGTCTGAATGACAATCCATTACTACGCGTCTNAGAAAAACCTTTTAAAGGGTGCGTGGTCCGCAAAGTGTTAAAACCAGGACGACAGATAAAGTCCGAAAACCCAATATCTCTGTTTCTCATTCTTGTTTGTTTGCATGCTTTCCACTAATTTTACTGACATTCAGTAACTTAACAGCTAGTAAACCATTGTTATTAGTCAGTTACTTTATAGCAGCTTGGTAAAAGTCTAACAGATCTCTTATTTCAATTCTCCGAAACAATACCATCTTATACACAGATCTTTGGAAGCAACATTTGTTCAACCAAGCAAGTTGGCTCAAACGGTAACATTTCTGACTTGTATGGGGAAGGTGCCAGCATGAATCTCAGCTGGTAAAATGACACTCCTGAATGACATTTTTCTGTTTTTCCTCAGACCCTCAAGGAAAATTCTAAAACAAAGTCATCAATTAAGCCATGTTTATGTCCCTTCATATCCATTACAATTCATCATTCACCAATCACTGTACCATAACTTGCGCTACTGACAGCACTGTTAAATACGATATTCTCTAAAAGAATTCATGTCATGACTTACCTAACGTATATGCTAAAAATATATTAAGGGCTGCCACAGCCCACACCCATTGAGGGACTGCTGGAAACTCTGGATGTTCATCACTTGATGCATAGAAGTTATAGTCATAGTATGAAAGCAACAGGAAATTGAGGACTGTAAACAGGAACCCAGCGAATGTCAAGAGATTTGGTGCAATCCATTTTGGGCACCACTGAAAGACAGAACACCAAGCATTACATTTTAAAACTACACTTATGGAAACATTTGTATCAGCCAATTAGCCTCACCCCAACACGATCATGTTCTACAAACTCTCCAGTAAACATTTTAAATGTTTCAACAGTTATACAGCTGTAAACATCTGTACAATAGGTGAAATGATTAAAATCAGTCATACTGAAACATAAACAGAGATATCTTTGCTGCTCAGTAAGAAGGGTTCATGTATAAAACCACAAGAAAGGTGAGCAATCAGACACCATTATATATGAATTAAGGCCTAGATACCATGTTTGTGGTTTCGTTTATTTACGGTTCATTACATGTGCTGTCAATAGTTGTTCAGCCTATATAGTACTAAATGGTAGCATGATTTGTGAATGATGAATTGGCAAGGATGTGGAAGGAACTGTCGTCGCTTTATATGAAGTACCATCCATAAATACGATCAGAAAGCTGAGGAAAACTATGAAAAGCCTGCATCAGTCAGTGTACCAACCAAGATTCAAATCAGGTACATGAAAGAAACAAATCAGAAGTGCTACAACTTGGGTCACTTTGCTCAATAACCTGCTTGTAAATTTCACTGGTATATATTTAAGTATACCACCTCTGTGGTCTAGTGGTCAGAGTTCCAGAGGTCTGGGTTCAATTCCGGGGGCTACCAGATTCTCTGAGAAGTAGTGGGTCTGGAATGGGGTCCACTCAGCCAGCCTCATGAGGATAATTGAGGAGCTACTTGAATGAAAAAGTAGTGGCTCCGGTCTAGAAAACCGAAATTAACGGCCATGGGGATTCATTGCGCTGACCACGAAACACCCTCCTATCCGCTAAAGTTGGCACTAATTTTGCCAGCAATCAGTGGTCACCAGGTTGGTATAGTTTGCTTGCAGACTAAAACCATGGAGTTTATTTTTTTATACAGGGTATCCCAGGAGGAATGTGCCAGACTTCGGGAGGGTGTTCCTTATGTTAAAGTATGCCGATATAACCCAAAATACCTATGTCCAAAGTTGAATGGTTATGGAGTAAATGGCCAGAGAAGTGTGAAACTTTGACAGGTGTTACACACTTGCTAATTAGCAAATACATATTAAAACTGGCAGGAATATGTGGTTTCCGTTAATAATGTACGTAACATCAAACTAACTTGTGGGTGACATGAAGCCATTAAATTGAACTACAAAAATACTCGCACACCATGTCATAGTTGTCCAAGGACTGTACATGACACATGAATGGCAAGTGCTGACGTAACATGACTGACTGTGCATTCTGGTATAAGCCAACTACATAACTGTACTAAACATACGATCACAGAAAATCTCTTTTGGAATTTCGTTACCATTATCTCATGTGGATTATTATGGGACCACGTATGCACATTTCGTAAATTATTTACACAGTCCCGGGTAAAAGACGCCTCATCACTAGGGACCGGATTTTAATGCAAATGCATATTTCTTTCTTGCAACCAGAAAGTATGCTCGTTTGGATATATGTATGAATTACTTCATTTCTTAAATTTTGGACATGGTTTGATGGTGCATATAAATGCATATTTTGCCTGTTTTATGAATAAGCATCATATTTTCGAAGATCTATATTTATACTGCATATTTCCTTTTTAAAATATTTATCATATATATTTTTTAATTTTATGTTCAAATTTTCAATCATGGTTATGTGCATACAATTTTTCTTTCCCGTATTAGAATATTTTGCATATCTGACTCAACATTTCATCATGATTCATGTTTCTGATTCAATACCCAGGACGGGACTTCCCTGATCCCTTTAGTCGTAACTCGCCTCATCCACGTATGACCAAAGTGGTCGCAAAGAGATTAGTCGGAAGCATTCACATGTAACCACTATCAACGTAATACTATTCAACCGATAAGGGACTTCACTTATTTATTTCCGAAGTCTCCATGAGGTTCGTTACGCTTCTTCATTTGAAGCTGGGGGCCATTCACATTAGTGGTGACTAGTTTGTAGTTAAGTTTGTTTAGCTTTCTGTAGTCATGCCGAAAGTGAAAGTAAGTCAGAACACTAAATTAAGGCTATATCAGCGGGATTTCAAAGGAGATATGATAAGTACGGATAACGAAATTCTTTATTGCCGAGCATGTGAGAAAACGGTTGTGAAAAAAGCTTTCAAGTGCTTCAGCATTTGGACACTAATATACACAAAGAGAATATTAAAATTAAATCCACGAAAACTGCTCCTGTTCAAAAATTGCTTAGTGAACTTTCTAATAATAGTTTTTCACAGTTTTCCTTTGATTTATGCGAAGCCTTTTTAGCAGTAGATATTCCGCTGTGGAAACTTCACAGAGAAGTATAACAGTGCAAAGTGCCGGATGAATCTACTGTGTGCAAAAATTACATGAAGCAGTTTTACGATCTTGCAACTGAAAGCATTAGAGATAAGATTCAAGATACTTTAGTGTGCGTATCAATCAACAAAACACAAGATTATGAGGAATGGTTTATTGCAAATTGTATAGTTGGATCCCTTAATAAGAATGAACAATCTATCCCATATATTCTTGCGGTAGAGCAATTTGAAACCACAAATTTTTCCGAATTTTCTATCAATTCTATGAATTTACTATGGCTGAATGGCATTCAGTATGAGTGCATATTGCTCTTTGTGACTAATGCCACAAGTTATATGATGAAAGCCGGTACTGCTCTTAAAGTTATATTTCCAAATATGACACATTTGACTTGCCTTGCCCATGGGTTGCACCGTGTTGCAGAAACAATTCATGCAAATTTTCCGCTTGTCGACAAATTGGTGTCTTCTGTGAAGAAGGTATTTGTTAAAGCGCCACACAGAAAAGAAGCCTTTGAAGCAGTAGCACCGAGCGTTCCACTTCCGCCAGAACCAATTTTAACGCGCTGGGGTACGTGGCTGTGTGCAGCGAGTTATACCGAACATTTAGAAACAGTTAGGAATGTTGTGAATACATTTGATCCCAAAAGTGCAGCATCAATTCAAATTGCGCAAGATGTACTAAAGAAACGCAGAACTAGAAACTAATCTTTCCTATATATCTGCTCACTTTTCTCATCTTCCATCCGCCATTTCCTCACTGGAGGCAGGCAATAGCAATACTACTTTGTATCAGTCGTTAAGTGTGTTCAAAACCACTGCTTCCAAATTGAATTTGGTTCCTGGAAGTGTTGGTGAAGTAGTAAAGGAAAAAGTACACAGCATTCTTTCAAAAAATCCAGGATATGAACAAATTTGTGAAATTGAAGAAATTTTAGCTGGTAAACGTACTGAACTGCCAAGTAAAAATCACTAACAGTGGAGCAAATAGCAGCTTTTGTACATGCGCCCCTAAGTTCCTGTGAAGTGGAAAGAAGTTTTTCCCGCTATAAGGGCATCTTACGAGACAATAGGAGGAGATTAACTATGAAAAACCTAAAATATTTAGTAACTGTGAACTGCAACAGAAGAGAAGTTAACAGCTTGGAGAGCTAAATATGAGTACCATTGGTTTTTTAAATTTGTAATGAAATATGTTGGCTCTGTTGCATGATTTGTATTTAAGTATAGCTTTTTATTGCAAGTGAATCATTCAGTGATTACATATAGTGAACTTAAATATTGATTTGTTGGTCTTAAAATAACGAAAAATCAATTTTAATATTTGGTATAAATTTTTATGAGCATATTTTGGAAGTTTTTCATGCATAAATGCATACATATTTAAGGGATTATTAGGGCATAAAAATCCGGTCCCTACTCATCACTGAATAAAGTGATGCTTAACAGTTCGGAATGAGCTTTTATCCAGTGGCACAAATCCATATGCTAAGCATGGTCGCCTGGTTCCAGACGTTGTACCCTTTGATCATGGTAAAGATACAACTCTTCATCATGTAAAGTTGGCACACCTGAATGCATGATCCGGCGATGTGAGAGGCAATTCTACAAGTGGACAGACGCAGACTTCTCTGAACCATCTCAAGAACATTCCCTCGTGTGTCTATCATTCATATATCCTCCCTTTCAGAGTGCACAGAAACACTCGGAAGAGAACCAGTATCACGCAATGTCTGGTGAATTCGCGTAAATACACTTCAACATGTAATCCTTCGATGGGGAAAACGCCTTTGGTATTCTTCAACAGCAGCACGTGCACTGCCACCGCAAAATCCACACACAAAATGCATATCACAATATTCCAAGTTTGAAAACACAAAAGGCATTTCAGCAACTCCACACAATTAACCTACTACCCATTCAAAACGCGGCCGCAACTTATCCTGAAGGGAGCACATAAGCTTACAGCTAGTGTGAATCAACACACTCAAGGACAAACATAGATAAGACTTGCCAGCTGACAGGTACAATGCATGGACCCGCCAGAAGACCACACTTTTCTGGGGCCATTATCTGCGTAACCATTAAACTTTGGACATAGGTGTTTTGGATTATATCGGCATACTTTAACATAAGGAACACCCTCCCGAAGTCTGGCACATTCCTCCTGGGACACCCTGTATATTTAAGTATATAATGCATATATGGAAGTGACAAATCTGACTTAAGACCTTCTTACTGAGCACTACAGAAAACAATCTATCGATCATGTTTCAGAACTTCAATAAGGTAGAGAGAACACAGAGGGTCAACAAAAAAGGTAAAACCAATGTGGAGTTTTCTGTTATAAGGTGTGAATCCCAAATAAACTTGCCCACTGGCAATAAAGCTGAGTCAGTGGAAATGCAGAAGGCTGTTGCCTGGATGGAGATGCATCAGTCCACCACAGTAGACTGTAGAAAGCACCGTATGTATAACAAAAATGTTTCGGAAAAGGAGGAAGGTTGTGGCAAGAATGGAGGCATATCAATCTGCCATGGCAGAGACTGTATGAAGCACTGTTTGCATAACAAAACTGCATTCATATCCAGTTCCATATAAGTGTTAATATTTGACTGAATCATCTCCTGACTCTCCTACCACTGGTCTGTCAGCCAGAACCTTAGCTGTCACCTTCCAAGAGAAAGGAGTAGAGTTGCGGCTACTATGCAAGCATCATAAACACAGATATGCATTTCTTTAAGTATATAAATTGTATATAAATTACTCACAATCATAGTAGATGCTCGATTTTTTCCTTTCTGCTCTTAACCCTGCTGCTGTAATATCCGACTGGCATCAAACAAGTATCCATTACTGTATATTGCAATATTCGACTTTAATCCACATCAAGAAATAATCATTTCATTTTACTGTGTCATTAGACTTCATTCAATGTACTCTGAAACGGTATTTTTGTTGTTTCATTTCCATTTTTTAAAATTTAAATTGTATTATTTGTAAGAAAATGATGAGAAAACAATATATAGGAAAAGGCTTAAACAAACTTCAAGTCTCTTGAAGGACTGCTTCAAACAAGTCTGAATTCTCTGACCTTAATGGATGTAGCTGTTCCACAAATGTGCTTACATTAATCTTGTGTCAGATGATTACTTGAATACACTGTTCTTTAAGTCTCCCCATAGATAAAAATCACAGGGATTTAAATTTGGAGACCTTGTAGGCCACATTCTGTGACTCACCAGTCTGTTTCAAACACCTTATTTATAACATTAACGTAATAATTAGCAGTGTGTGATGTAGCACCAACTTCAACAATATAACGGCAAGTCTTTTTGCCTTCTGCAATGCTATCAAAAAAGAGCCAAAGAATGTCACTCTGATGTACTGCTCTGAATTGACAGTCTGTTAAAAAAATACAGGTCCTACTATTCATATTGCAGTAATGGCACACCACATGCCAAACTTCTGATCATGAAGGGTACTTTACATTCATATTCTAATGAGTCATTATATTACTTTGTCTGAAGTGTTGTTTTGAGCATTCACTCCTTAATGGCATGAACCCAGCTGTGGAACATTAGCAACAGAGAATAGAACTTAAAAAACGGTTAACAGGAAAATACAAAGTTTCCTCTTGGATTTATTGGACATCACCTCACAGTTTGGAAGGAACCAAACATTTGGGCTGTGGGATATGACAGTAATTCACAACCAAGTTGACAGACCCTCCAAAAAAGGCAGCTAAGTTTGTACAGCCTAATCAGATACCTGAAGTTACATTGCGCAGTGATAGTGAGATACCTGACAATAACAACAGAACTGTGGATGATGAAGAAATTTAACAACAACTTGAGCCAACTGGTTGTAACAGGAGCAAGGACCCTCACAGACTGGCTATGCAGTGTTCCAGTGTCAATACTACTACTGAGACACCACACAGACCTGGTCCACTGGATATCTCGGAAGAAGACGAACAGAATAAACCAGATCAACGGACACCAAAACAGAAAGGAAGTTCACAGTGGACATTACTATGTGACCCATGGGAAGTGCAGAGTACATGACCATGCAGGGGATCCCAGAGGATAGAAAAACAAAGTTCCACCTATAAATGACAGCAGCGCCGTGAAACTTAGCACTGCATTGTTGCATTTCACAGAACTTATCACATTATCACCATTGCCTAGACACACCTGATGATAGGCCTTCTCCAGTATCTGACATGACTGAATATGAAATATTTCTCTTCATGCTTTTAACAATACAAGGAAACATTGCTTACATGGCAAACTGACAGATTTACTTACTTACTTATGGAGCTGAGCCCTTCTTGAGGAGAAGCTAAATCTGCAGCTACTCAGGAATTTCCCAACATTTTATGGAACTCGAAGGTTCATTACCATGTTCACAAGAGCCCTCCACTGGTCCTTATCCTAAGCCAGATCAATCCAATCCATACCATCCCATCCTATCTCTCTAAGATCCATTTTAATATTGTCCACCCACCTATGCCTTGGTCTTCCCAGAGGTCTCTTTCCTTCTGGGTTTCCCACCAATATCCTATATGCATTCCCCTTCTCCCCCATTTGTGCTACATGTCATGCCCACGTCATCCTCCTTGACTTGATCATTCTAATTATACTTGGAGAAGAGTACAAGTTATGAAGCTCCTCATTATGCAGTTTTCTCCAACCTCCTATCACTTCATCTTTGGTCCAAATATTCTCCTCAACACCCTGTTCTCAAACACAAAACTGACATACTACTGGACAAAAATGGATCAGTTTTACAATCATTTCTACAGCAACATGATAAAACTAGATAGATTACTATACATTCTTTGTTTCTTACAGTTCTCACACAGCATGAATGTATTGGAACCTTCCACATTCTAACACGCAGCTTTGTCGGTCTAACACAGCATTCAACTTCTGCTCAAGCCAAGTCAATGTCACACTGCGACCAGCGGTCGTATTTATACAGCACTCGCTGCCTGGCCCACCTGTAGATCATGGCATGTGCTGGCTAATCAGTGCTTATAATCACAACTGCAACTTTAGCTCCACCCAGCAAGCATGGTATTAAAGACGGAGCTCAAAACTCGCTATCATCAGTTCTTCTCCAGTCCACCGATCAACACTGTCATGAAGCAGCAGCTGCCATAACTCTCTAGCAACCGCGCCGAGACAACAGGCTCAGTCAGCTCCCGCGCCATAGGCAGCTGTTCCTACCGGCACACACAGCACCGCATCACTGGCCAGCCAGACCAGCTGAACGGTCATAAAGAAGACCTGGTCTGCTACGAAGCAGCAAACTCCACTAGCGCATGCACGGTGGAACAAACGGCCCTTTTCAGGGCGAGCAAACTTGTGAACAACATACGTTATCCCACAAATGAAATTGGCAAGATGGATGAAAATTATGACTGTGGAAAATATGAGATGCATTTGAAAATCTGGATAAGGCATTTTCACCATATTACGACCCTTCCAAATGTCTGACAGTATAAGAAGTTACTGTTCTCTTAAATAAAAAAGAGCAGTTAAAAAAACAGGCATTTGGGCATGCAAACTTACAAATTATGTGATTCCAGGGGCTACACATACACCTGAAAGTGTTCTTGGGGAGGATAAACAGCATAAGGTACAAGACTTGACAACGGCACATGCTACAGTGATAGAGCTTATTCAGGAGGCAGGATGAGGTCACAAATTGTACATGGAAAATTTCTTCTATTCTGCATTATTTGATGACCTGACGAAGAAATATAAACTGCTGCTGGGACTGTGGGACCAAAAAAGAAGGGCATACCACAGGACCTTGTACACAAGTAAATGAAAATGAAACGAGGTTACACTGAAGTGCGAACTGAAAGCAGTGGTGTGGAGGGGACAAAAGAGACATTGACATGTTGACCAATATTCACAATTCACCAGCAGAAGGTAACTCCTGTAATGAAAAAAGGAAATGCTATAAAGCCACACACTGTATGATCATAATTGTTATGTAGGTTATGTGGATAAAAGAGACAGGACAGCCAACAGCTACTCAATCAGCTGTTGCACATGAAAATGGATGAAGAAACTTCAGATATATTCTTCCTTCTTCACATGGTGGAGAGAAAATCTCACAGAGAATTCTGACTTGCACTAGTGAGGATTATGGTGGCACATGCTGGACAAGAGCCATATGAACAGAAACCTTTAGGTAGGCTAACATATGTGGTCAGTAAAGTCACCAGACTGGACGTCAGCGGCAATAAGCACTGGTCTGTGCCATCCAACTGACTGCAGTGCCATATACATTCAGTTTACAGGATAAGCAGCAGTATCAGCGTAAAGTGTCAGAAACATGAGGTGGGTTTATATGTAGACAAAAACTGTTTCTTCGATTATCACACCATAATACAGCTGTAAAACTGTCGTGATGCAACCTGCCTATGCAGACCTGAAGCCTCCAACCGAAATGTAAGTAAAATAAATTCAGAAACTTCCAGACTTTTAGTACATATTCATGTAATTAAGATATTAATGGAATTTTTTGAGACACTACATAATTTGTTTCATTTGCTTAAAAATGGTGTTTATTTAATAATTTCTTCATTCCTACTTTGGATAATATTTCAGATTCCATACAGCCTGTATAAAAAATTAAATGCCCATAACAGAAAATCTGTAGGGCTTTTATCACTATGACATTTGAACTTCTGCCATGTAAAGTCAAAAGCACGTTTAGCTAATGCTTGAATATTTTTTAATAGTCAGGGAAACTGGATTCAGCCCACAGAGAAAGGTTCTGTGTGTGTGTGTGTGTGTGTGTATATATATTTTGTAGCATAATTCCATCAGTTTCAAATGTTACTTATGTTTCAAGTTAAAACATTCTAGAAATCATCTGTTGGACAACATAAATGACATGAAACTTACTTCAACAACATGGTTCCAGAAGGGATGCATCACATATATACTCAGTGGGCTAGTATCCAAGGAGCTGTACTGAAATATAAAACAAAGAAAGCTCATAATACAAAATATAAAAATAAATATGTCATTAACCAAGCTACAACTGGAAATGATTCAAATCCTGTTTACAAAGCATTTCCACAGTACTTGCACACTGCTTTAACAGCCAAGGCTACTGTACAGACAGACAAGGGTAAGGATAACTTTCACATACCTGGTTGTTCTCTCTTACGCCCACAGTGGGTAACAGTAATCAGAAAAGTTACGCTCTCTCTCTCTCTCTCTCACACACACACACACACACACATATTGCATACATTTTTTCAATTACAATTCTAGCAATAATTTTTCTTAAGTTTTTCACTGTACAAGTAAGAACTGCACTGCTTAATGCCGCCATCACATAATATTGTGGTTTACAAGACTGTAACCAAGACATTAAACAAAGACTTACTGTATTGTCACAAGGTGTGGCACTGCTGCATGACAATTCCTGTCCCCATACTGCTGAAGCACTGAAGCAGCTACACTCCAAGATCTCAGAACACGCATCATATAAACTTGACCTTGCTCTGTAGGATTTTCATCCATCTGGATGTCTCAAAGGTGCTTTAAGAGCCCACTTTTTTGCAAGCAACCATGACTTCACGGAAGTGGTGTGTATGTGACCCACCACCTGGGTGAAAATATTTTTTTCTAATGGAATATATGCGATTGTGCTACCCTGTACCAAGTGTACTGAAAAGCTACAGGTCTTAAAAAATGATGAAACTGCAAGTTTCTTATCATTACTGGTTCTGTATTAATTATAATGGGTATACTCTTGATACTTTCTGATCTATCCTTGTACTGTACGACTAGACTGATAAAATCTCATCTCCTGCTTATTTGTTAATAGCAAATTATTACTTTCAGAAATTCCCTATTGCATTATAACATAAAAGCAGATGAATGCTGCACAAAACATTTTATGCACACACAATGCATATAGTGAAGCGGCCTCCGTAGTCTAGGGGTAACGTTCCCACCTCATGACTCAAGGTACGCAGGTTCAAACCCAGCGGAGGTCGTGGAATTTTTAAGGGCGGAAAAATTCAGGGAACAAGTCCTCTGGGAGGGACTTTAAGCCGTGTGTCCCGTGTAGTAGATTTATGGAACGTAAAAGAACCTCATGTCTCTAGGAGACCTCTGAGCTAAATTACAGGCCCTTTCCCGCCCAAGTAGTCTCTAATGCCTCTGGTGGATGGGGGAAGCATCAAGGTACCGGGGGCCGACCTTGTTGGCTCTACGGGGGCTGATGGCACGCGCCGTTACTGGTAGGGTATGGCGACAGCAGATTTTAAAAGGGGGACACACAATGGACCAATAAATGGTCTAAGTGCACGGGGAAACCCATCCCCTCTCATAATACGAAAATGTATATACTATTTTAAAGTACGATGCAAAATCATCATCTAAGTATAACTAACTCCAGCTGCTCAACTGCTCAAGAATTTCCCAATATTTTATGGAAGCCATTGGTTCGGTACCATATTCACATCAGTTTGTCACTGGTCCTCACTTTGAGCCTCATAAATCCAGTCCATACCACCCTATCTCATTTCTATATTATCCTCCAAACATGGTGTTGGTCTTCCTAGTGGTTTCTTTCCTTCTGGCTTTTCCACCCAATTCTACATGCAGTTCGCTTCTCCCCATGTGTGATATATGCCCTGCCCATATCATTCTCCTTGACTTCAGTGTTCTGATTGTATTTCAGAAAGTGTTCAAATTATGAAGCTACCATCAACATAAATCGATTTTTCTTCTAATTACATACTGTCACATGTTCAGTGATGCGTGACTAATAATTGTTTATTCTAGATTTGACGATTAGGTTTATTTGAAATCATTATTAAAATCACACTCAATTTTAACAGTTCATACTCTTTCTGTGTTCTCTCTGACTTCACTTCCAAGTTCTCTCTTCACTTCTGAACTGAACTGATGACTTCTCAACTGCTCTTATTTTATTCCTGCTAGGCAGCTGGGATAGGAATCACCTTCTTGACGAGTAATGTTTGTCACATCTGTGATAACAGCCTGTTTAGAAAGTTATTACCATTGATGTCTCCAGTACTTCGCGGACCGGTGATTTAAATATTTAAATCACCCTGGGGGACCGGCATTTTTAAACATGCTACCCTAACTTGTGCACTGTTCAATTTAAAAATTAATATAAAATCTCCTAATTAATTTTTTGAACTAAAATTTTTGGAGAACACTTACCAATGCTCCTAGAAGTGCTTGAGGGTGTGATATTTCTGGAAAAGTTCCCCTTTGTGAAGTGGCATTACACAGAACTTGCAAATGTAGACATACTCCTTTTTTTGTGAACTGTGCAAACACGGCATTGCCTAGAAGTATTCTTCCCCTTGGAATGTTCACTCTTCACAATTTTCATGAGGGTATTTTTCCGCATACCACTCAAAGAGTCGCCCTGGGGGGTCCACATGAGGCTTTTGTGGGGTGGGAGTTGATGGGCCCGGTTGTACTAAGTCTTTGTGTGATCCTGGTTCTGCCGCCACCATCTGGACTGTAGCCCAGGCCTTTGCCACATTCATCAGAAATGCTTTGTATTTCAATTCTGAATCAGGGTTCAGATTTTTTTTTTAGATTTTTTGCTGTCCCCACAATGTTACTACACGCAATGTTATTACCCGCATTATCGTTGGAGCTACTGTCACTTTTACTGTCTGTGGCCACAATTCTTTGTTGTCCCCCATC